TAAATCATGAACTTTGCGTCCGGAGCATGGGCCCCAGATTGCCCCACCCTAGTTCCCAGGCTGCTAATACCATTAACATTTTGTTGCTAACATAAATACGTATTAAAGTATTTCAAATTCTGTATAGTATAGTTTAAAAAAAGACATATTTTGGAGTACCATATGCCTAAAACCAGATATTTCTTAATTTTTTCTAGGCGGGGCACAAACCAAAAAATACCAATCCCGACCACTTATTTTACAATAACCTTTTACGTTTACTCTATTATGAAAGTAAGGTAAATAATCAGTATAAATTAATCTGTAAATCGATAATTTTACCAATGTATGAACTTAGCGCCCCGAGCATGGACCTCGGCTTGCCTCGCCCTGGATCTAGGGCTGCTAATACCATTAACATTTTGTTGCTAACAAAAATACATATTAAAGTATTTCAAATTCTGTATAGTATAGTTTAAAAGAAGACATATTTTGGAGTACCATATGCCTAAAACCAGATATTTCTGATTTTTTCTAGGCGGGGCCACAAACAAAAAAATGCTGACCCCGCCCTTATTTTATTTTTACCTTTTACATTTATTCTTTTATGAAAGTAAGGTAAATAATCAGTTTAAATTAAACTGTAAATTGAGAATTTTGCTAAATCATGAACTTTGCGTCCGGAGCATGGGCCCCAGATTGCCCCACCCTAGTTCCCAGGCTGCTAATACCATTAACATTTTGTTGCTAACATAAATACGTATTAAAGTATTTCAAATTCTGTATAGTTAGTTTAAAAGAAGACATGTTTTGGAGTACCATATGCCTAAAACCAGATATTTCTTAATTTTTTCTAGGCGGGGCACAAACCAAAAAATACCGATCCCGACCACTTATTTTACAATAACCTTTTACGTTTATTCTATTATGAAAGTAAGGTAAATAATCAGTTTAAATTAATCTGTAAATTGAGAATTTTGCCAAGTCATGAACTTAGCCTCTGGAGCATGAGCCCCGGCTTGTCCCACCCTAGATCTGGAACTGCTTATATAATAAACATTCTGCTGCCAATATCAAGACATATTAATGTATTTCAAATTCCATATGGTATATTTTAAAGAAAAACATTTCTTGGACAACCATATGCTTTAAACCGGACATTCATTTAGGCTTGCAATATAAGATGTATACTATTACCATTTAGATTTTGCTGCTAATATCAAGACATGTTATTTACTGTATTTCAAATTCCACATTATATAATTTATCGACATTACTCGGGGAACAGTAAAGTACTACCATAAAATTCAAATAAAAATAATGATAAAAAAAAATAGGACTGAATTGGCACAAATAATTAAATTAATAAGACTCCTTTTTCATATTTAGACCTAATTTTTTGGCATTTATGCACATGCAGCTAGTAATAAATTAAAGCATTTTATGATAGTCGATCAGAATACTTATGATTTCATTAAAGACTCAGAGTTCTACATAAAACTGTTTCTTACAGTTGTGTAGCACCGCGTCAGGGCTAAAGCGATTAAGATGGATGACGAGGAATATTTAGAACTATTTCAAACAGACATTGTAGAGGGTATAGTCGACCTCTTAATTGTGCAGTCGGATGTTAGTGATTTCTCGATTGAGTAAGTACGACTTTTATTGATTTGTCCTTACAATAGTCCTGTGTGGCAGCTGTTAGTAATCCCATGTTTGAAGGCAAATATTAATGTAATCAAAATTGCGAAGTATTATTATTATTAACAATGTGTTGTTTTGTTGAGTTCCTTCAACAACTTTTTAAGAAATTGCCTTGCCCAAAGTAAAGATGTAAGCTTATTCAAAAACATAATTTGGCCACAATAATATATGTTATCTGCTTCTGTAATCATGAATTCAATACTTTATATCTTACAATTAACTCAAGTTATTATTAGTAAACATTGAGTCTGTACTACTAAAATGTTGGATTTTTTATTATGTTATAATAAATACATTAATTTTAGGCCATCCGGTAATCCGCTTGTAATGGCCGCACTGACAACAATGACGCAGTCTGAAGAGAACTGGCTGCATGTGGTAGGATGGTCCATTCGAAAGGTTCCCAAGTTCGCTTTAAACGTCATAAGAGACGTAATTAGGGACATGCCATGTCCTACTGTGGATACGGTTCACAGGGTATGTAGTTGTAATGTCTATTGAAATGTATGTATTTTTAACATTTAATATGCTAATAAAAATGTGGTTTAGTTGTTAGGCGACCTGTTAAAGCTATCGCCGAGGCGCGCGACGAATCCGAGCGACAATCGCCAAGCGGAGAGGAACATTTGCGTGGTGCTCACATGCCTAGCAAACAAGTTGGCAGGGAGAGCAAGTACACAAATATTCACACGGAATGTTTGCGACTATCTTTTCGAGTTCTTTGTAAGTTTCAAATGTATTTATATCCAAAATAAGAATTTAAAAAAATCGGATATCGTTGATGAATTGTTAAAATTAAAACCGTACAAGATCAATAAGGTGTATAACTTTATAAAAAAAACTTCAAAATAGATATCAGAAGGCAAGTATTCAATGTTAGTTTTGTAAAACATTCCAAAATAAATATATTACACAACCTGATATTTTGATCATTGTACAGTTTACAATAGAAAATATTTGTAACTTTAAAGGATGTCCAGGAATGACGTGTACAACGGAATACCACGGATTCCTTGGTCGAAATAATGACGATTTCCCCAACTTACCTCTATCCAAAGTTACATTCTTTAGCCGATTGAGGCCATTACAGTTTGCAAATTATTTTACATTCATTCAAATATCTCAAAAGGTCTTACATAGATTTAACAATATTAAAAACACCGTACTTGATTTAAAATAATACCTCTTCGGCCAAGAAATTTGTGGTATCCCGCTGTACAAGTCATTCCTGAACATCCTGTATATCTTTTTAAAAACAGGGGGCAACGTAAAAAGCTAACAAAATATTCAAACGAAAATACCCATGATCATGTTTTTAGCGGACTTTTCTTTTTTTTATAGCTAATGCGTCGAAAATCGCGCCAATTATTGATGGCTTTGCTTACATTGGAAAAGTTCGCTGTTGTACACGAAACCAAAACTATCATCGTAAAAAAATTTTCGCAACTAGAGAGAAACCCTTTATTCGATCTGTTGGAGTACGATAAATCCGAAGAAAACTATCCGCGTCAAATCGGATTTTGCGCCCGATGGGCTTTGGATAACGTTTGTAAGTGCTTTTATCTGGTTGTCCGTGTATAGCAAATACCTATTTTCCTATTCGCGGTTTGTGCGCTACCGTATCTTAAGTTGTAGAGAATTTATCTCTGGGAATTTTTTGCTGACTCCAGGTATTAAATTTGGTTCTAAAATAATTTAAAATTATTATTAAAATGTGTGTTTCTGTCACTGCCGCCATGCTATGGGAAAAAGAGGATGAGTGGTGTTAAGCTCTTTTTGTGAGGCCATCATGACCAGGGGGTGCCGATGTGGCCGACGAATATATTGCATCGTAATTACTTGTTTTATAATGAATATATTTCTTCTACAAATCTTGCAGCTCAAATTAAAACCACTTTCCGTTGACATATTTTCTGAAATCTGATATCTTAAGTTCCGATGACAATGCATTTTTTCATTCAGATTCTTTGTAAATCCAAGATGGCCACCCTGATAAAAAGGAGGCCATGTTTTGGCACAACCCCTCCCGCCATGCGTATCAAATAAAACGGCTTGACTAGTTGAATACGGTATAATGTTAATAAATCTAAAATGGTCGCTACTACAAAATGGTCGATAACACGTATTTAATATTAAAAATTTAAGTGTCAAATAAAAGGGCTTAACTGAGAAAATACCCTACTAATAAATCCAAGACGGCCGCCATTATGATATGGGCACCGGCATATTTTGATATCCCCTGAACATGGGTATCAAAATTTTGGATTTGACTAATAGTGGAAAGATCATTTCAATTCAAAACATTTTAAAAATAAAAATGACTAAAAGTAGGAATTGACTGCAAGATACTTTTTTTTAAAATACATACTTCTTTTTATAGTTCCAGTGACCAGGCGCCAGCCATCTTACTTAACTGTTGATATGAGTCGCATAAATGTGATTTTCAACCAAAATACCCAAAAATTTATGAAAATCTCTCCCGATGGATTGGAACTCCGTTGTGACACGGAGGATTTTGGAAGTCTGCGTGCGACATGCGGAGTGACCCATGGGACTTATTACTTTGAAGTTCTCTTGATAACGGGAGGTCCGATGCGCATTGGACTTGTTACGTCGCTGTCTCCAATGGTATATATAATTTTCTTCTTATACAAGTATACAAGTAGGGAATAACATTACAATTTTATTGAATGCGTGTTCATGTATCAAAAATGACAGGCGCCTATTTATCTTATTTTACTTTCCTTAATTCTTTTTTCCCAAAGGTTAATGACCGAGAGTAATGTTTATCATTCATATATGTCCAAATGTGATCACTTGGAGCCTAATCTGTTTAACCAATTTTGATAAATCTTCTTCCTCAGAGATTTTTTTTTAATCAGCTGATTTTATAATTGTTTTATAGACCGATACTTATGCCATTGGAAAGGACGATACTTCGTTTGGTTACGACGGCAGCACCAGGTGCCTTTGGAACAAGGGTGTTTCCCGCGACTTGTTTGGGATACATACTTGGCAACCTGGCTATGTTATTGGCTTTCTTGTGAATACCGTCAAGAAGAGGATTTATTTTGTTCAAAACAAGTCAACCGTGATCGTATCTTTGCCTGAATTCTTCAGTAATCCTCAGTGAGTATTTTCATATTTTTCTTATATTTTGTATATTTTTGATAGTAATGTCTAACAATTACTACTATAACAGGGGCAACAAAAAATACTACCCGGCAGTAACCATGGCCCCGTACGTACAGTGCCGTTTCAATTTCGGCTCCGAACCATTTTGCTACCGTTCGCCGGAAAGGGGCCCATACTCGACTTTCAATGAAGTCGGTAGCCTCACCCCCGAAGAAAAGATGGTAATTATGCCCTTACACAGGATTTTTTTAGTTGCGAAGTTAAGCTCTTAGGAATTTAGAAAAATATTATTACCTAACAAAACTTTAAAGAAAAAAGTAATCTTAACAATTAAACTTCATATCCGAGGAAATATAAAACTAAAAGCCTGAATTTTTAACTATTGATAATTTTGATTTATGTATTATGTCTGACTGTGATTTCTTGCAGGTGAAACCAAGGAACGAATTCCAATCGGAGAACTCCGTCTATAATGAGGACGCCAACGCGTGCGAAATCTGCTACGATAATAACGCTAACTCAAAACTGCTTCCGTGTGGCCATGAGTAAGTTTCTCAAAATTCACCAACATACTTAACTGTTTAACTCAAATTGGTCTCCCTTTTTTACCATCTGATTGATTTAAAAAATAATTTCTTTTCATTAATTTCAGCACGTTCTGCCGTGAATGCACGTCGAAATGCAAAGCGTGCCCCATTTGTCGCGACGCGATCACCGAGCGCGTCTAAGATGTATCTCATTTTGACTTTTAATTTTATGTGTTTTTAAATCATTTTTTTTATTTCACCAAATATATTTGTTATTTAGTTATTTACAATTTTACCTGAACGGGGAGAAAAACAAATTTAGTCGGCTGTCAACTGTCATTTGACATTTTTGTCATTTTAGGGATTTAAACAAAATGAATTCCTTATTGACTATGCCGGAATAAAAGATCTCCGAAGCCGGATTGCATGTACATCGACAAAATGCTATTTTTTTTTCGTTATGAAGTTAAAAAACAAAATTACTCATTTTATGATTTTTTTTTAAATTTGACAGAAATCGATATGTCGTTGCCATGAAAAGAGTCCACGGAATACTTTGTACTTTGTATATCTGTGGTACTTTTAATCATGTTTAAATCTATGATGAACAGTTTTTCTCCCCAATTTTATTCTCTATTTTATTTGTATTTTAATTAATTGAAAATAATTTTTAATCTATGATATTCAAATATTTATTAGTAGTGAGTAGTTGATGTCAAAGATTAGGTACAGTCATTGTTAAAATATATTAAACAATGCTTTATGTGTTTTTAACTTTAATCGCTTCATCTAAATGTTTTTGCCATTCTATTTACATACGTAAGTTTTAGTATTAAGTGTAGTGACGTGAATAATAGTACATTCCAGTTAACTGTTCCAGTAGCCGTAACAGCTAAATGGGCTGTACCTATTTGATTTTACAATGAGTTTAAACCCTTTCACCTTTTTATCTTCTGCAATCTGACTCCTGCCAAAAACTTTAAAATGCCGAAATACATATATTGTCTCGCTCAATCTCTGAAAAAACCAAGACAACATAAAACCAATATGTATTTTAACAATTTTTTCGGCAATGTAAATTCTCGTTCAATGTGATCTCTTTACAGTTATGTGATATGTTATCCTAGTAATGTACTATAAGTGCATATTAAAATTTTTAATTTTAAGTTTATGTATTTAGCACAATTTTGTTGCATAAAGTGTTAATTTTTTTATATTTTTTTTAATTTTTTTTTTATATTTGTTATTGTTCTTTTTTTGTGCAAAGTAGCTTAAGTGCATTCACATATTGTAGCCAATTTACAAATTAAAAATATAGAATTTCACAGAAATTTTACCTATTAATCTACAATCTCAATTTTACTCTTAAGACTGAATGTTTAGATTATAAGAATTTTGATGCTGAACGGTGGCAACGAGCGATTTGGTCATCTACGTGGATGGTTGGTGGACTCGGTGACCGCAACTCGTTAGCATCTGAAACTATAAAATAAGCTACGTTGTCTACCGTTACGAGACAGAGGATAAGACAGGAAAAAGACATTTTAAATTTATCGTCTTTCCTGTTAGTTCTAACTCCCCTTTCCATTATATCCTTATTATAATATAGGAAGGGAAGGAGGATTAGAATTTAGATTAGAAAGTTGTATTCTGTGTGTTTAATCTTGTAGGTGTTCTTGAATGTTTCATTGGTCGGGTTATGCCTCCCAGGAATTCAAGTAAGATAGTGCGATAAAGCATGCTTATTGGTGTTAACATTTTAAATCGAAATCTCAAAACTGCATTTCCCTCTGATGGTTATAAGTTAATATGTGTTATATACTTTTTTTAATTTAATTACCAAAAGAAACTGTTTACAAACAACTGTATTTATATTATGTCTGTATTGAAACATGTAATCTCTTTATTGAATAAATAAATGTATGAAAATAACTGTATTTTATTTACGAATATTTCAAAGTTGTTTTCTGCGTAACTGTACCAAAAATACCATACTTATTTTAACATAATTGACGATAATGATACAAAGATTATCCTTGTTGGCTATAACTTGACGAACAGGTTAAGAACGACTGGTAATGGCGACGAAAGAATATTATGTCATTATCTTTGGCGAAATAGAGATAGCAATACTTTTTAAACGGCGATTTTGATTTCAGAAACCCACAGTAAGTCGCTTAGTGACTAGAATCGTAGTCATAGTTTCTACTAGTGCAAAATTTCGATCAATTCTTGACATTTTAAAACTAAAAGAATTGTTCTAGTTCTTTAACACGAACCTTGTGATCAACGCCCTCTGTGTTCTGCGCATGAAAATTCTGCAAAATATATTCACGGTTTGTGGAATATTACAGTTATAAGGTAAGCGCCATCTGCACTTTGCTGCCTTAACTATAATGTTGGATTTGCGTCCTGTCACCTTGACAAAAACATTGGTCACTTTAGATGTATTGCTGGTATTGTATCCGCAGTTTTACGTTGATTAGATTGACAATTTGTCTGGATAGGTTGAATGAAGATTGTATTGAATATTTTCGATTTTCGATGGTTGCTCTCATAAAACTTGAAATCGGCAATTTCGTGATTATTCATGTTTTGAATTATAGTAAATAAAATAGTTTCTTTCTAGTCCTACTTCATAAAGAATAAAAAAACTATAAAAAGATTTTTTTTACCAAAATTGTGGTTTTTGACAAACAAAAGAGAAAGGTTTTTAATGTTTCCTTAGTTATTGTAAGATACATAGCCAAATAATTTTAAAAAATACAAAAAATAATAAATTAATTATTTGTCGGATTAATTTTATTAGAAGATCGATTCTCCATAGTTGTTCGTAATGCGTGTATGGTCACGACACTATGATACCCGTCTATTAAGTACGAAATTAAACTTAATACAAAATTCATTCCCTACTTCGCAGGCGGCATTTCTCAAACCAGTCGTACTTAAAATGAAAAACGAACAAGTAATAATATCTCTTTTGTTATAATTATAACCAACCGCAACCGTCAGCGCGAAAATAAGCAAAATCAAATAGGCACAAGATACCACTATTTATAGCCTGTCCATGGGGGTCAGTGGTGAACTTACAAATACGTAATCACATGAAAAAAGAGGTCAAATAATACATACTCTTTAGTATCAAGAATACAATTTTGAATTGGTGGCAGTGTTCCGCACAGATAAACGTCAAATCAATATAAAACATGTCATCGTACAGCGATGATGAAATGCTTTGCAATAATATAACAATAAGGACAAAAGTCGTAAATAAAAGGAGACGTTGTAGTAGTATAAAGTAAGTACATTATTAAATCTATGCTTATTTTAACGAAAGATTGATGAGAGAGTAATTGAAGAAACAACATGAAGTATTATAAATTTGAGTACAAATAATATCTTCGATTTGTATTTATTTGTCTCTAATATTTATAAACAGTACAGTCAGCTGCATATATATGTATACATTTACTAAACTTTACACACTTGTATAGCCTTTGATTTCAAATTTACGCGTGCACTCGTCGATAAGATGTATTCATGTTCGGAAGCAACAGACGAATACGTGGATACATATTTCTGAAACCGATGTGTATACAAGTGTGTTAATGTATACATGTAAGTAGCTGACTGTACAGATTTTGATGAAACTTTATGATGATCTGAGGACCCCAGAGAATGCCTTAATTACCATCAGCATTTTATCTATTTTTTTATTAATTTAACAGTATAACATTTGAAGAAATTGATGCCGACCAAAGTTTAAAAATAATTGAAACTTCTTCTGAGCCCAATCTCGTATCAAGAGCCGCTTTAAATAATTCCATATCCAGCTTTGAAAGTGATAGTTTAGATAAAATGGTTGCCGATCTTGAATTACGTTACAATATTAATACACAAGATGTCAACAACAGGCAAGATGATAAAATTGATATTCAATTTGAGAATTATAAGCCACGGAAAATTATGTTCGAACATGAGAAAATTGAAAAAGACGACACAGATTCTGTAAAACATATTTCCCCTAATTTATCTAATCAATGTTCTATTTTGAAAACGTCCAATAAATTGATAAACAATCATATTAAGGTACATAAATGTCCAGCTAAATATAACTTATTTGAACATATAAGAAGTCCTGTAGCTATGTATATCAAACAGAGTCCACAAGTTCCATTATTACAAAACGTAAAACCTGAAAAGTCTTTAGAGGGAACTAATTTAACTACCGATTTCGGGAATTGTTTGAAGACGAAATACAACTTGAATTATAAACCTTTGCCAACAGTAGCATATAAGAGTGCAAAGAACACTAAAGTGGTATGTTTTTAATTATATTACTATTTACCATTCTTCTATTTACAATAATAATACAATACTTAAAATCACGTCTAAACTGTAGTCTGGTGTATGCAGGCTATTTGTAGACTTGTCGGGGATCTTATCAAAGTGAGTTGCATTTGTTGTAAAGTCACATGGCAATTAAAATCATTCACCCTGATGGGAAACCCTCGAAGGCTCGGAAACTATATGCCACAAAAAAACAAGCCGAAACAGAATTTAGCCTTGATGTAAGTGGTTATTGATTTTGATGCCATTGATTTATGGCATGGCATACCTGTGTATGAAAAATAAATTAAACAAAATCCAATTTTATTGTTTTTATGTTGACTAGTGGTAGTTCTCTTTTTAATTTGACTCAAAATAGCTTTACTAATTTTACATTCGTCTGTTCTCGCAATTCTCTTAAAATAGTGTACTAATATTTCGCATAACGTTGTGACAGGTCTTGGGTTCAAATCCCGCCATGTACCAATATGATCGAATCGATCGATCGAATTTAAAATGTACAATGTGTAAAGTCAACCAACGCGCAGTGTGCCGGCGTGTTTGACTGTGGCCTAGTCAACCGTAACTAAGGGTAGGCTCCGAGACTCTCGGGGTCTCGTACAATGGTCTGATAATCTACTTGTTTACCTATTTAATGCTCTGATTGCCAACAGCTTGAAATCCCTGACGAAAAGAAGTTACCTCGATGTCAATGGGCAGATAAGCTAACCTCATCTCTTCCTAGAGCTGTTGTGATAAGACATGTCCAAAGAAGGAATATTACTTTAACGAAAAAAGAAGAATCGCTTGCTGATAACAGTTTTGCTGATCTAACTCTGCACCAAGCGAAATTGTCTATTTGTACATTGGAGAGTGCTTATAAAAAAAACAATGTATAAATATTTTTTATTATCAAAGTTTTGTTAAATAAATTAATTATTTGTTAGAAAGTTCCAATTATGAATTGTTTCTTTCTAAAATTACCAAAAAAATATTAAAAGAAATATGGCAATATACTTAAGATTAATTGAGATCTTTCTGCCGCGCTCATACTCTATAATTGATCACTAAAGAAGCCCCTTAGTGTAGATTTTACAACTAAATTTACACTATGCAAGAACACTAAATAAAGGTGCAGCAATTAGTATCATCACTGTTCTACAATGAATGTACAAAGCAAATATTGTACCGTACTTTTTATTCGATCTTTTTATTTAGAAGCTGGTTATAGTTTGACTCACATTTTATAATTTTAACAAAGACCCTTTTATAAAATATTGATTTTAACGCCCCTAAATAACGTGTCTACGATGACGCGGCATCGTTTATCTTCCTAATTACCGAATTTCGGAAGTCGTTATTGTGTTGACATATAGATGTGCGATGTGAAGAAGGTTTTTTGTTGAACAGCAGAGATATGGGGCGTAAATTTGTTGACTTGCAATATGTTAGCTCACATAGAAGAAGTATGCATGCGACTTTGTTTCTGTGACAAAAAAAGAGTATATTTCGTTGTCGAGTTACTCAGTGAAAAGCAAAATCTAACCCACTTATTAAGAAAAGGTATATACGATGGGCTAATTCTGATTTTATCTTGCTGTTCTCTTAAATTTTTATTAAAATGATTCATGATATTAAGGTATTTGTTCCTTTGCAAGATTATAAATTAAGAAAATGTGACGCTGTCACTATTTTACACAGCACAGTTTTATTAAATTTGAAAAACACTTTATTTTGAATACGGAATATAGGTTACTCACCTACTTGACAAGCTTTCATAAAATACAAGCAAATTTTTATTTTTATTTATACATTTACACTATAAATAATTAAAAAAATAAGTTAAGATTTAAAACTTCAATATTAAATATAAATAATTTGAATTCTTGATAATAAATCTAAATTCATTATGAACCTACGTCAGTGGAAGATTATCGAGGGCTTTAACAATGTTGCCTCGCAAATGGATTTTTTTTATAAAATGCTTCGCTTTTGTGGTGCCATGGAAAATTGACGGTTGGCCGATACAAAGGGTATTGCAAAAGGGATAGGGGAGGGTTTATAGCGTGAAGAGATACGAAAGTCGGACGGGCACCGCCTCTGAACGTGCTTTGGGCGTGTGCTGCCGTGGAGCTTTACATCGAAGGAATAACGAAAGGGACGGTACGAGGCAGAATATCAATGTTAAAGCGAGATGTAAGTTTCGCCCGTGAAGGCGGGGCGCGCGCGTCATCGTACATCCGGCGAGTTCGGCCACGACCCCGCTCATTCGTCTCTCGTTTAGCGTCCGCTATGTAAACGGGCCTTGTTGTGAATCTAAACAAAATCAGTCAGTCGTCGTTTTGTTGCCGCGAGAGGAACGCGTGGAGGGTGAGTCGCGTCGGCCCGCGGTGGATGATGTCGCGACAGTGAACGTGTGCCGGCAATATGCACGCGCTCTTTGGTGAACAGAGCCCGTACGCGTACCGCGGAGCGGCCGCCGGCGGCTACTCGGCCGGAGTGACCCCCTACACCTACGAACAATATCGCTACGGCTACGGGGCTCCCTATCTCCATCCTCACCAGCAACATGTCGGCACCCCCAAAGATATGGTCAAGCCGCCCTACTCCTACATTGCCCTAATAGCCATGGCCATACAGAATGCACCCGATCGCCGCATCACCCTCAATGGCATATACCAATTTATTATGGAACGATTTCCTTATTACAGAGAAAACAAACAAGGCTGGCAAAATTCTATAAGACACAACTTAAGTCTTAATGAGTGCTTTGTGAAAGTGGCTCGGGACGATAAGAAACCTGGAAAGGGTAGTTACTGGACTTTAGATCCGGATTCATATAACATGTTCGACAACGGGTCTTATTTGCGACGGCGACGCCGTTTTAAAAAAAAGGATGCATTGAAAGAAAAAGAAGAGGCTCTCAAACGGCAGCAGCAGTTGCAACAAGCGCAGGAGGCGTTCGCCGCTCAAGAGGCGCTAAGTGCGGCGGACTCGCTCGCCCAGCCGCGCGATGTGAAACCAGACGTGAAGCCACGGATCTTCGAGTGCCGGCCTAAAAGAGAGCCGGGGGCGGAGTGCCTTCGATACGACAAACCCTCAGATTCTATGGAGGAATTCAGCGAACCTCGACTACCACCGTCTGCGGTCTACTGCTCCCCTCAGCCTTATTCGTTGGCGGCGGAAGAATTTCGTGCCGCCACGTCGGGTTGGTATGCGGCCCCCGAGCCTACATCCGAACAGTTGCCACCGGCTTTTCGAGACCTCTTTGAGCCACCGAGTTGTCAGCTGGCTGGGTTCCGCGGCAGCTCGCCCTCTGCCGACGCCTACCGCGGGTCGCCGCCTCCACATCACCACTACCGCACGCCTGCGCCCTCCTATTACCATCACCAAGCGTGTGTGGCTGCAGCGCCCGCTCCCGCTCACAAGTCCTACTGAGACTTTGCTTACAGGTAAGAATGCTATTGGTTCTTTAAACGCTAGCGCATTGCGAAGTTTTTTGACATGATGTATAGGCCGCGTTCGCGAATTTGGCTGTGCGAGCTGCGAGCGTCCAACCCCAAGGGACAAGGGATGGGCGCCGGGGCACCTCGTGACGTGGTTGTGGTTGCAGGAGGCCGGCATCATACGGCGCCGAACGGATTTAGCCGCGCGCGTCAGTTCCAGATCGGATAAATATAGCGCAGTAGCCGGAGATGCCGTGGAGGCAAGTGCCGGCGCGTCGATAACCACTGTTTACAGATCGGCGGCCGACCCTGCCGCCTCCCGCTCCGTTCACACCTATAGGTATGTCGAAACTCCACATGTGTTCAATGCTTAGTGTAACAATGCGCTGCTAGCGGCGGGTGTGCGTCTGCCGCGGCCGCCGCGCTAGCGTCTGCGAGGCGATGTGGTGTGCGTAAGCTGTCCGGTTCTAGCGCTGTCCGATGTTTTACGGAAGCTACAGACGGTTGTTTTGATGAGTTCTGGACATACGTTTTCCATAGATCAGCTGAACGTATGTATTTATCAAGATTGCCAACTTGTTGACCACGAGCTGCTAGATTAATGTTGACTTGTTGAAGTATCTTGATTGTATTTATGCATATATGTATGTACTAGATATAAATGCAATAAGGTATTTTTTTTAAATTTTATAAGTTATAATCAAGAAAAAAATACGTTTTTAGTTAAAGCCGAAAGTATGTTGTATGTAAGATATTTCATAATTAACAATAACAATCGTAGATGACCTACAATTTTTATAGTTAAGTGTCTCATAGGATTTCGTAAACAGCTCTGTTTTCAATGTAAAACTAAAGAGTTGTCTACATGGTTTGTATTAGATATATTTGAACTCTTGCAAACTACAAAAACTCAAAGCTTATCTCTCGTACTCGTATATCTGTCAAATCTGTGATTTGACCATCTGGTGACCAAGTGGTGTTAGTTAACGAAGTAAAAAATGTTTTCTAAGCCCCTTGCATCCTTGCATTGTTTAAGCACGTTCGTTAGTTTAGGGACATTGTATGTAGTAAAGGTAATAGTAGATATAGATAAAGTCTGCTGTGTGATGTGTTTTTGAATAAAAAATAATCAAAAGTTATGGTCATATTTTATAGATATTTTATATACCTACTACTACCGTAATAATGAACTAACGCTCATTATTAAAAACCATAATGGCTATAAAATAATTGATGATTATTACTCAATTTTATACATCAACAAGTCTCAGCTTAATGATACCTTTTTTAATACCTATAAATATTCTACATTGTCCAAAACAAAACGGCAAAAGTTCAAGTTAGAAAACTGATCGTTCGTTTATGTTTTAAATCCACCGTATACTCCGATGTCCATCAAACATCTCGTAAAACTTTACGTAGTATAAACTTGAAAAACACAAACAATATTGTTATGAAAGTAATAAATTTACCGATACTAGCTATTAGCTTCTTAACGATTGTGTTGTGGTATCTACTACTTGAGCGAAAATATTAATACTAGTCACCTATTGGTCAAAATTTGACCATAAATACATTGGTTTAAATTAGCTTTGTGCACTCCTTCACATTAATATCAAAAACGTTAAAAGGTGGTACAAACTTTTCTATTCACTGGTTTAAATAATTATAAACATACAGTAAATTCTCCTTATTCGCGATTTGAAAATCGGCGGGTAAAAAAATGGCGACCAATTCAAGCGTTCACGGCAAAATATTTCGCCATACACGGTTCCCGACAGTCTATTCTGTTTAAATTATTGTCTTTTATTATCACTTTGGCATTTTTATACAAGTACCCATTGCTCTCTTTATTAAAAGTCTACATGCAAGTGTTTTTGCTTATTTTTGAAGTGTCGTTTAGTAAAAATCGTCTATTGTTAGTTGCTGTTTTTTAGCACAGCGAAGTCAATCAAAAATTGACTAATAACTGTAAATGTATTTCATTGTATCATATTTTTCTTCGAACATTAAATGTCAAGAATTCGAAAATTTCTAATTAATATCTTTATGTTAATTCCTACTAATATGATAAATGCTAAACATGGATGTAAGGTTTGATGAACGTTATCTTTTCTCTAGAACAGCTAGCTGAAATTCGGCATAGATTTAGAACACTAGCTGTCGCCCACAAGTCTGTCCCCGTGGAATTAAAATAAAAATTTAATGAGTCACCAATGTGTCCTTCCAGACTATGCTCTACGTTTATGCCAAATTTCAGCCTTTCCGGAGATACCTTCCACCAAACATCAATGCATCTTAACATTTGCCTTTATATTTTTGGTAAGATAGACTGGAAAAACACAAAGAGTACTAATTATTATTCATTCAATTTCGCGCAGACGGAGACGTGAGAAAAGCTCATTTACAATAAAGCTTTAACCTCTACAATTTTATCTTTTAATATTTCCGCT